GCCACAGAAATAGCAGCAGCATGCAGGCAGAACAGCAACAGCAGCATGTAGGCAGATCAGCAGCAGCAGACAGCATAGCAGCATGTAGACAACAGCAGGCTGATCAGCAACAACAATATGCAGGCAGAACAGCAACAGCAGCATGCAGGCAAATCAGCAGCAGTAGACAGCATCGCAGCATGCAGACAGCAGCAGGCTGATCAGCAACGGCAGGATGCAGATCAGCAGCAGCATGCAGGCAGAACAGCAACAACATAGTAGACTGCAGCAGCCAGATCAGTTGTGGCTGCTGTTTCTGTTTGCTGGGTGGCTGCTGATTTCGGTTTTGCTGGCTCTTGTGTTGCTTGTTTTGTTTTCGTTTTTGCTTTAGTGTTGGTGGATGCTTGGCCACTAGTGATATTTTTTGTTCTTACATGTGATCTTCCAAATTGGTGTAGGAAGAGACCCGTTGTGCACTTCTACACCCAGGAGAATCATACAATGGAGCTTCGAATGTGGTTGTATATGGTAGTGCACAACCGGCCGAACAAGGTACGGTCCATTTGCGACCGCTTAGGCCGCAACATTATTCGGTCGGGATCAATTTTGTGGTTGCCGGGTTCGAGGACATTCTAATACCTGTGCCCGTAGAGGAGGATGAGTTCACTACACTTTGGGCAGCAAAAGGTAGTTTTGTGCAATGGCCATGTGCTTGGATACGGTTTTCAAACCAGGTAATTAAGATTTTGGGTTCACGTTTTATTCTATACCCGATTTTCTTCCCAAGAGTTTGATGGAATTCTTTTCTATCCATTTGTGTGATTTGTTTTATTAGGTGTCGAGGAAAAGCCAAACTCCAAAGAAGAGGGTGGAGGGGTCAAAAAGCATTGATCAACCGGTGCCAAAGAAGAGAAGTGAACAGGGGTCGGTGAGTGAAAAAGCATCGAAAAAGAGCTCTTCGCGAGGTTCAGCTATGCAAGCTACTCCACTTGTTGCAGACACGGTGCTTTAATCGCTCTCTAAGGAGTTAACTTATCTTCACAACTGTATTTGTATGTTGCCTAGTGACACTCCCATTCAAGTTCCACTACCTAAGGAAATGTTCCACTATGATGATGATGGAATTGCATGGCTCACCAAAGAAGATATGACGGAATTTCTATGTGGTGAAATGCTTAACATTTACCTCATTCAAATATGCATCAGGTAATTCAACTAGTACTTAAATTATGTTATTCAGATTAGTGGTGATTGTCGTTTAGTTTTCCATTAATATTATTTTATCATGCATGCAGAGCACTCCAGGAGCACTTATGTGAGATTGATTCTCCGTGTCAAATTGGGTGGTTATACCCTGAGCAGATCTCCACTACTAGAATCTTAGGCAACCACCCTGACGTGTTGTACTATGTTGAACGGAGTATCAAGGAATTAGTGCGTGGGGGAGACAAGTTTATATTTGCCCCATATTATAAGGAGTACGTCTGATTATGTCAAATTCATTTGTTTCCCCTGTTTATATGTTGTACATGGCTAATTCTTAATTTGTTTGTCTATTGTGAATTTATGTACGTAGTTTGCATTGGACCCTGCTGGTGATTTGTGTTTCCAGTAACACAATCTTCCTTTTTGATTCTGCTCGGCTACCTCAACCAAGAAAGCGCCTCGTGAAGTCCATACTGCAAAAGTAAATATAGCTTCCTATTGTTGATTATCATTACCTAACTCATTTATTAGTCATAATAATCAAATTTGAACTTACTTTCTATATAGTGTTATGAAGAAGATAAATTGTCGAGCTTCTTGAGGTCCTACATGGAAATCACCGATGGTAATGCCACATGATATTGTGATTTTCGTAATAAACAATGCGTAAGATGTTGCTAATTTTCTATGCATGTTTGATTCATGTACTTTGTTCCTTATGCTAGTGCGCACAACAAGATAACGGAGTTGATTGTGGCCTATACGTGATGAGATTCATGTTTGACATAGTGAGTCAATGTACATACACACTACAGCTTGATGAGGTATGCCATTGACTATATCTTGTAATTTCAAGCATTAGCAGCATCATAGTAGTCAAATAGGCCTTACTTGAGCCATTTTGGTTGAAAGTGCGTCCTAAAACCCTTAAATTGCTATTTTATTGTAATTTCAAGCCTTAAGCACCTATAAATAAGTAATAATGACATGTTATGAGTAAGTATGAGTTCACTTGACAAGAAATGTAGTAAATAGGCATCATAGTAGTCAAATAGGCCTTACTTGGGCCATTTTGGTTGAAAATGCATCCTAAAACCCTTAAATTGATCTTTTCTTGTAATTTCAAGCCTTAGCCACCTATAACTAAGTGATAATAACATGTTATGAGTAAGTATGAGTTCACTTGACAAGAAATGTAGGAAATAGGCATCATAGTAGTCAAATAGGCCTTACTTGGGCCATTTTGGTTGAAAATGCGTCCTAAAACCCTTAAATTGCTCTTTTCTAGTAATTTCAAGCCTTAGCCACCTATAAATAAGTAATAATGACATGTTATGAGTAAGTATGAGTTCACTTGACAAGAAATGTAGGAAATAGGCATCATAGTAGTCAAATAGACCTTACTTGGGCCATTTTGGTTGAAAATGCGTCCTAAAACCCTTAAATTGCTCTTTTCTTGTAATTTCAAGCCTTAGCCACCTATAACTAAGTAATAATGACCTGTTATGAGTAATTATGAGTTCACTTGACAAGAAATGTAGGAAATAGGCATCATAGTAGTCAAATAGGCCTTACTTGGGCCAATTTGGTTGAAAATGCGTCCTAAAACCCTTAAAGTGCTCTTTTCTAGTAATTAAACACTTTTCCACCTATAACTAAGTGATAATGACATGTTATGAGCAAGTATGTGTTCACTTGACAAGAAATATAGTACATAGGCATCATAGTAGTCAAATAGGCCTTACATGAGTCATTTTGGTTGAAAATGTGTCCTAAAACCCTTAAATTGCTCTTTTCTTGTAATTTCAAGCCTTAGCCACCTATAACTAAGTGATAATGACATGTTATGAGTAAGTTTGAGTTCACTTGACAAGAAGTGTAGGAAATAGGCATCATAGTAGTCAAATAGGCCTTACTTGTAAATGTATGTTTACATGCATATATAACCTAAGTAATTCACTCCTAACTTACGTTTTGTTTATTCCAAGTTTTGCAAGGGACAAACTGGACGTCCGTTCAAGAGCAAAGAACTTAATGAAGTTCGAGACATGTTGGCGTCCTTCATCACATTTAATTTGTAAATATTATTTCTGTTTGAACTTGTGTACTACATTACTGATTATTATTGTTTGTAATTATGACACTTTTTTCTAATTAGTATTATATTTTGGGATTGTTATCAATATTTATGTATTGTTATTATTTCAATTATTATTATTAATTATTGTTATTATAATATCCTAATGGTAGAATTAATGCAGGATGTACATGATCTCATTATTATTATATTTATTATTATTAATATTATTATATATTATTTCCGGAAAAAAAAAAACAAACGCAGTTAAAGGCACCGATTCATGCTAAAAACCGGTGCCAACAGTACTGAAAATAAAAATAAATAAAAAATCGCGCCATAGTAGTTGGCACCGGTTAACCGGTGCCAAAGCATGTAGTTGGCACCGGTTAACCGGTGCCAAATCATGTAGTTAGCACCGGTTAACCGGTGCTAAATGCTTTAGTTGGCACCGGTTTTGAACCGGTGCCACATTTTCATGGATTTGGCATCCCTCAAACCCCCAACGGTTCAAAACTGGTGCCAAAGGGGGGGGGGTTTGAACCGGTGCCTTTTTACCTTTTTTGTCTAGTGCCAGTATCAGGGTCGGCCCTGATATCTACTTTGAAGAGTCCTCGATCAAGGATCTCCTCTTTGTCTTAACGAGGAACAGGCGGCAGGCTAGAGCCGCCTGCGAGGAGAGGTGGATCCTTGTTCCACCTATTGTACCTCTTGTTGAGGAGTTTGTCGAAGCTGGAAACAATGAAGAAGGGGTTCCTCCAGTCTTTCCACTTGTTCTCCTTCCCCCTTGTCATCAAATAGCCCTTATGGCTGGAAATCTGGTACCAGCCAGTACCGCTTGCTTTTCGGGTCCGGCTCAGACAGTTCATTTGGGCGAACACCGCAAAATTTTGTTCGACTCCATACATTCCGCAGCCGGCTACAAAGCCCAGAATGTTGAACCATGAGTTCGAGGCCAACTGCCAGAGCCCCACCTGGTACCCATCCAGGATTTGTTGAACAGCCGGATGCAAGGGGAACCTTAATCTAGCCTTAATGGTCGCCTTAGAGCAGCCAAAACAGGCGTCCTCATAGCTGGCTCCCTCAAGCCAGACTACTGCATCCTCAACATCCGGCACTAAAAGGAAGTAATCAGGACCCATTACATGGTCCGCCTGAAAGGTCCCTAACCTCTCGGCCATGGCCTTAATTCGGCCTTTTAGAACATGGCAGTAGTAGGGAGTATGCGACTCCCTATGAGAAGCAGACGACTCTTCCCAGTTGACCCCCTTCTCAACAGCGTGAGATGCTCTCGCCTCATGAAGACGAGAATGCCTCTCTTCTGAATCTGGGGAATACCGGCTAGATGAGCTAGACTCAGAGTCGCTCGAGCTATCAGAAGAGGCCGACTCCTCTTTCTCGGCGAGGGTCGGCTCTTGTCCGGACATGTCTACAATCATCGGACTGGCCGCCTGGACCTCAGATTCTTCTAGAATAGAGTTACTTAGAGTGCTTGGGTCACCAGGCGACCTGGCGCCGTTTCCAGGGACTAACGGTTTCATTCAATTATTTGTGATTCGTTTTTGCTAGGCTTATTCCGTTGCTTCGGCTATTTTCTCTTGTGTTTTTGATATTATTTCTCTAGTTTTCTTGTTGCATGCCCACACGACGCTCAGGGTCAGAAGATCTTGAACCATTTGACTCTAAGATCGAGGCAACTATAAGGAAAAGGAGAACAAGGAATCAACGTAGGAGAAACATGGTAGACCAAGGAACAAAGTCTCTTTTGGAGTACGGTATCCCTGATACAACTACCGGACTCCTTTCTAGCATTTTCAGGCCACCTGTGACGGCTCAGCATTTTGAGCTTAAGCCACAATTCATTCAATTTATCTCCAATGATTCATTCGCAGGCCTACCGCATGATTGTCCGGTAAGTCATATTGATAGTTTTCTGGAGAAATGTGATACTATGAAAATGAATGGTGTTACAGATGATGCTATTAGACTTCACCTTTTCCCTTTTTCACTACGGGATAGGGCGAAGGAATGGTTGAGAGATGAAGGCACTGGCTCGTTTGATACATGGGACAAGCTAGTGAAAGCTTTCCTGGTCAAGTTCTTGGGACAGGAAAAGACTACTGATAAGTGTCATTTATGTCGCTATTTTTAGGAGTTTTCTAGTTAGTTTTTCATAGTTTTTCTATCTTTTTACTTGGTTTTAATAACGTTTTACTACATTTGTCATGTTTATGTGTGAAATGTCGTTATTGCTCAATTTTGGCTTTTCTTGCATATTTTGGTGGCTTATGACATTAGATTAAACTTTATTGGTTTACTCTTATGTTTAGGAACACTTGGATAAGTTCATTGCTCAAGATTGAAGAAATATAAAGCATAAAAGAACAAGTAATGAAGAAATGTGCACTTGATTTGCAAAGATCATACTTCAAACGCCTATATCTTTTGATCTACAAAACATTTTGGGGCGATTCCAATCGGAGATGAAAGCTTATCTTGAGAGATTTCCAACGACAGGTCATATGCTCAATTCCGATGTAAAACGTGGGAGATATGCTCATTTGAAGCTGAGCAGTTTGCCCAGTCCGCAGCCAGGTGCGCCCGCTTCTCAAGGCCGCACGCCCGCTCCTCACAGGGTGTGCAATTTTGAAGTTTGGCAGAAGGTTTGGCAGAAAGTTTGGAGCGCCCGCTCCTGAGGGGTGCACGCCCGCTCCTCTACGCGCTGCTCGACTTTTTGCGGAGCTTCCTAGGCAGCTTAGTAAGGGCTATAAATAGATTTTTTGCTCATTTTAGAGGGGAGAATTCATATTTTCAGTAGTTTTAGGTTTTTAGAGAGAGAAACTCTCAAATTTTGGAGAGAGAAAGTGAGAGAAACAATGGTTTTCATGGATTTTGGATAATTAAAGGAGGAATTTGATGATTTGAAGATCTCCATTTTATATCAATGAGCATTTCTTACTCTCTTCTCTCTTTATGCTTTATTAATTGCTTTGTTAATCATGTTTGAGTAGATTTCCTTCTACTAGGTGTTGAGTGAAGCTTTGTTATGGTTAATTGAGTTATTTGAGATAAATTTGATGATAATTGTGTGATTAAATTGATTGAATTGATGATGGCATGTTGTTTGTTTTAGATTGGATTGATCTCCCAAGATAGCAAACTTAATTGCATGTTAGTTCTAGTTTGACAAGGGATTGTGAATTAGAATTTATATATTTGATTGCATTTTGGGTAAATTTCTTCTATGCACCTAGTCAATGAGGGATCTAGGCTAGGAATTTGAGAGATTGCTCTTGATGGTAATTAATTCCCATTTTAATTCTTTCTTTGCATGATTGATTATCAAATCGATTCCCATTAACTTGTTAATTGTTCAAAGTGGATCTTTGCCCCTAGTAGACTTTGTAATTTCTTGATCTTTATATGTGTGTTAGTGTAGTTGTAGTGTCCACTATCCATAAACCGACTTCGGCGTAGCTTAAGCATTAGATCGAGAACAATCCAACATTACCGTTCCTTGTGGTTCGACTCCGAACTTACCACTAGACTTGTTTAGGGGTTAGTTTAGGATTATAATAAATTTTGTTTGGCCGTGAGGAGGTTAGTCAACGACATAATTTCCCCGCGCTCAACTACAAGGCTAAGAAACGAACTATCTACCTTCAGGCAGTCAGATGAGGAGTCCCTTTATGAAGCATGGAGGAGATTTAAGCGATTGCAGATGCAATGCCCTCACCATGGTATTCCTGAATGGATGTTGATTCAAACCTTCTATAATGGCCTAACCCATGAGTTTCAAATCTACATTGATGCTGCATCAGGGGGTTTTCTATTGACAAAGAACCCAACTGAGGCAAAGGAGCTGATTGAGAAGATGGCGGCCAATGATAATTATCATCCAGGAGGTCGTCAGAATGTGAAAAAAGGAGGTAAGCTTGATGTAGATGCTTTGACTATGTTAGCCAGTTCTGTGCACGCACTAACAAGCAGGTTTGATAAGCTCCAAGCTGGAACTTTAACTAGCTCCCAGGAGGTTTGTCAAATGTGTAATGTGTAGAGCCACATCACACCTGATTGCCCGCAGAACATGAGTGAGATGTCTATTAAACAAGCTAATGCTTTCTACTCTTCGAACCCCAAAAAGCCTTTTGATCCGTACTCCAATTCTTACAACGAAGGTTGGAAACATCATCCCAACTTCTCTTATAAGAACACCCAAGCACAACAGAATCCACCATCACAACCACCCCTACCCAACAACTACAACTCACCACCAGGTTTCCAACAAAGACCACCTATGAACCAACAACCAACGCAACTACTTCCCCAAAAATCTAGCCTTGAGTTGATGATAGAGAGCTTCATTACCACAACTAAAAGTGTCATCCAACAGTTGCAAGCCTAGAGTAAGCTCATGGAAACCCAAATAAGTCAACTCTCACAACAGGTGAGTCGTTTATCAACTCTTCATGATCAAGAAAAAGTCCAAAAGGAACAATGCAATGCAGTTTTCTTGAGAAGATCGAATGAATTATTTTCGAGGAAAATAGATGAGAAAGTGTGTAGTGTGGAGTCAAGAAAAGATGAAAAGTGTGAGGATGTAAAAAGTCCCAAATATGTTGCTCCACCGGTCTATGAGGAACCGATGCCCTTCTCGCAAAGGTTGTCAAAAGCCGTGCTCGATAAACATTTTGGAAAATATTGCTTGACTCTTAAAAAGGTACATGCTTCCATTCCTTTTTCTGATCTTTTAATTCAAATGCCTCAATTTGCAAATTTTGTGAAGGAAATTAAAGATCAACATGATGATAAGGAAGTAGTATATGAGAAATGCTCTACTCTTTTACGTGATAGCCTACCACCTAAGCTGCATGATCCTGGTAGTTTTACTATTCCCTGTATGATAAACGAAATATTTTTTGACAGGGTCTTGTGTGATTTAGGTGCTAGTGTAAATTTAATGCCTTATTCATTATATGAAAAATTAGGTTTGCAAAAACTTAAACCTTCCCCTATTTCTCTTCAAATGGCTGATAAGATTGCTAGACTCCCTGAAGGTGTGGTTAAGGATGTATTAGTTATGGTTGGTGAACTTGTTTTTCCTGTTGATTTTGTTGTTATGGATATGAAAGAAGACCATAAGATCTCGATTATATTTGGTCGCCCATTCCTTGCCACAAGTCAAGCTCTAATAGATGTTCCTAAAAGACAAGTGACCATTAGGGCCCAGGATAAACAAGTAGTGTTTAAGCTCTTTAATGAACATAATTTTATATTTGATGGTGGTACTTGTTTAAGAATTGATGCTACTAACCCTTTGGTTGATAAGTGTGTATGTGATAGAAATCTTGTGAGAAACGAGGATAATATTCCACCAAATGATGTGTTTAGCTACATGAAAGTAAGTTCGGATACAAAGCATGTCAAATATAAAATGAAGGAGTCATTTGGACACGGATATTTTTATGGGCAACATCGCGGAGTTTCTTCTTTGTGTGGTGACCCAGGCTGAGCTAATAAAGAAGGTCAAGCTTAAGACCTTAAACAAGCGCTAAATGGGAGGCAACCCATTCCTTTTTATTTTATTTATTTTTTTTTTTTTTTTTTTTTTTGCCTTTTACATTTTTATTTTCCTGTTTTGTTAGTGTCTAGAAAACAAGCAAACAAAAAGGTCATCACCGCCCCGAGGTATGATTTTCCCCCTCCCGATCAGTAGACCTGTTTCCCCCTCCCCTTGTCCATTTTACACTGATTTATGCATACATTGAGGACAATGTATGGTTTAGCTTGGGGGAGGGTTCATTTTTCACCATGTACATATTAGTTTTTTTTAGTGTTTGGTTAGTTTTTCTTTCTTATTAATGTCTTTGATATGCCATTACACGCTTATGCTTCTATGATAATGATCATACATGTGTGCTTTGTGAAAAGCTTTTCGAAAACCCATTTACCAATTTGCTTGGAATTGAGTAGGTTTGTGGCTAGGATGGTCTCCCCGCTCTACTTATTGAATAGTTTGTGTACCCGGTGAGATTTTTGAGCCATCTTTGACTGATTTCACTCTAACTCAGTCTTATTCTTTCATGTGTGATTAGTTGTCCTTCATATAATTGAATTCTTGGTTTTGCTCTTTGACTATTTGAGACTTGGATGATGCATGTTGTGGAAAAGTGATTGAAATTTCCTTTGTAGAAATTAGAGCCTCAACATTCTAGGTCCACAAAATTTTTTATTTTTTTATTTTTGCATTCACCCGTAGGATGAACCACTTTGAGCCGTGTTTTCCTTTTTCTTGATACCTTACATTTAAAGCCACGAAGCCGTTTTTTTATAGGTTTCTTTTGAAGGAGAATTACACTCGCTTAAGCCCTATAAGTGACTTGTGAAAGAAAAAAAAAGGGTTGAGTATTATTGAAAAAAAAAAGTAAAGAAAAAAAAAGACAAAAAAGAAGGAAAAGAAAGAAAAGGAAGAAGAAAAAGTTTTAAAATTCCATATATCCATACCTCAAAACAAAGAGGAGTTCTAAAATTCTTCCTAATTCGTCAAAATGTTACAAATTCCTTCATTTTACAAGTTATAAAAAATGATTAGGAAAAGGGCTATGCTTATATTGTATGAAGTTGGAGGAAATAAGGTTGGTTTGAACCCAATATTTGGATGAGTAGTGGGATTAGGAATTGCTATACTCTTGAACACCACATTCCCAAATAACGTCGTCCAACCCTCTATTAACCAAGCTTACCCTTTTTGGAATTCATGATTTTCGCAATTGCATCAACGTTTGAAAGTGGAGAAAGTCACATTGCAAGTCTAAAGAGGACAATTCATGTGAAGTTGATGCATTCTATGCCTAAGTTGAGTGATCTCATATTTCACCCCGTAAACACATGAGCGTTTATTGTTTTTGTTTTTCACAACTAAAGTGAGAGCTATTCATGTTTGTGTGAGTTGGTTTGGGGAGATGTGTGGTAAGATGTTTGTCGATTCCGAGTATAAGAGGTTTATGGTGGTTTTATGCACATTGATTCTAATTTTTGCTTTCCTATTAATTTCAAATGATGGCACATTATGATGATTTGAGAAGTTGTCTTGCTCTTCCTTTGTGATTCATGGTCGAATGCTTGAGGACAAGCATTAGTTTAGCTTGGGGGAGTTTGATAAGCCGTGTTTTGTGCATAATTGTTAGCCTCTTTTTAGTTGTTCTTATTAGTCTAGCTTAGCATTTTAGTCCATTTTGGTTTGATTTGGTTTAGCTTCGATGATTCGATGCTTTTATGGGTAGTTTTGTTGTTTTTTTTAATGTATTTTAGGATTAACGAAGCAAATATGGAGATTTTTATGAAGTCATGAGACTATACCGAGGCCCATGGACTTTCACGAAGCTCGTTGGTCGAAGAACAAGTCATTTAGGCCTTTCTGGAGTCAAGCACGGTCATGTTTAAGAGAGGCACGCCCATGTATTATTGAAGAAAGAAAGAAGAAGTAATCTGGAAGCTAGGCACGTCCATGCCCAATTTAGGCACGTCCGTGCCTAGGCCTCAGAAACTGAAGAAAACTCTCTAGAAGTGAGGCACGTCCGTGCCTCATGTAGGCACGTCTGTGCCCCTGTTGACTTCGAATTTGCATATGAGGCACGTCCGTGCCTAGAGTCCAGAAGACAAGAAAAACCTTACTCGAAGTAAGGCACGTCCGTGCCTCTTGTAGGCACGTCCTTGCCTCTTAAGGAGAGGATATGCGCTATTTTTCTTTGCTTTCTTATCTTTTTGTTGGGAGTATAAATACCCCAAACTTTATTATATTTCACTATCTAGTATTTTCTTTTTAAACCTAGTTCTCTCTAAAACTCTTACGTTGCTTTTGTAATTCAAGATTCAATTTCTACTTTTGCAATTTCCATTTATTTCAAGATTCGGTATTTTCCTTTCATCCCTTATTTCTTAATTATGTTTTCTTTGATTATTTTTGCTAATGCTTATTTCAATATGTGTGAGTAGTTTTTTATATTCCAAGATCTAGGGTAGCCCAATTGTGATTGATGCATGAATTGATTCTTTAAATTCTCTAATGACAATTGCGATTATTTATGCTAATTTGATTGTGATTATGCCAATACTAGATTAGAGATAATTAGTATTTATTATTCCATAGTTTCAATCACAACGAGAGTTGGGTTTTAACGGATTTGAGTAAATTAATTTAGGGTTTGAGATTCATCACGAGAGTAGTTGAATTGATAATTGGGAAGTGAAGTAAAGTGTTTAATGTCTCTAATTTGCATGATACCATGAGAATAGGCTTGATTGTGGGTTAGGGAATCCATTGATACTCGAGAGAGGTCCTTGGTATTTGTTAGGGTTTGCTTTTCCCCGTGTTAATTGGAATTATATGTTAGGGGTAGATTTATAATTGCATCGATCGTAATTGTGGTGATACTTGATCTTGGATGTTCTAGCTTATTGATTTATTATATTCTTTGATTTATTCTAAGTTTTCCATACATTAGCTCTTAGTTATTCTACCATTGATTAATTCTTGCTTGGTAATTACTTGAGTCTAGATAATTTAGGTGAACCATAGTCTCTATGGGATCGACCCTGACTTACCCTACTACATAATTAGGAGGTCTAGTTAGGTATTATTTTTTTTAGGTGCGCGACACGCCTATCACGACCGGTCCGAGAGCTCGCTCAATTGAACATAATACGAGGAGCCATCTGAATTTGTATATCTGGCCGTTCTCTTGGTTCTGGCCATATTGTCCTGCACAGACATAGAGACAGTAGGACTTGGAGCACAGGGCAGAGATTGGTCCAAAAAGGGGCAGGCGGCACTCCTAGTCCTAGATTCAGCCGTCCCCGGTGACCGACTAATCACTAACTTAGGTCGTGTCGGGTGCTTTTGGGATACCATGTTTTCAAAAGAAAAAAGCAAAGAAATGAAAAGTGCAAGAGCAGACGGTTACCTAAAGATTGGAAGTTCTGTGAGAAATGAGATGGAAGTCTAATGCAGCCGGTCACCACAAACAGTCGGCTAGCGCAAACAATCGGTTGAATAACAGTCGTCCAAAGTTTTCAAAGCTTAAGTTCAAAGGTTAAGAGTTTCTCTTGCAAAGTTCACAAAATGTGAACAAAAGACTTGGGTCAACTGCCCTTATATAGGGAAAAAGAAGAATGCGAAGGGTCACATCCAAAATTTAAAAAAGAAGAAAATAGGCGGGAAAAACAGACAACCCTCGAAAGGCCGACACCTGTCACAGGCCGTCGCCAAGCAACGGGCCAACACCTGTCACAGGCATCACGTGACGAGTCACGTGACCCCTATGAGGGGCAAATGTTTAGGGGGTTTTTTCTTGCCACGTGGTCCAATCAGCACTTGCCATGTGTCAGCCACGTGGGCCTATCAGGGACTGCAACGTGTCACACTTTAGAAGGTCCAACGTGGACCAATCACGCCACGCCACGTGGCCTGCTATCTGCCAACCTGGAAAACGGCCACCAAGGCCCGATTCCCGGGGCAAAGCCCAATCAGTCCTAGGTTTACCATTAACCTAGTATTGGGCACGCACTACGAGGCTATAAATACAGTAATTAGCCCTCATTAAACATTCAGAAATAATTAATCATCTCACCAAAAGAAACCTATACCCACGTGCATACTAATTGCTAGACCAGACTTAGCATTAATTGCACATCCTTGATCGCTCCCCCCTTAGAGGAATCAGATCACCTTTTACTTTCCGCACCTGTAACTCCTAAAACACGTTCTAACTTGATCGTTGGAGGCGGAGCTCCCACCAACCGGAGTTTCCATTGTTTTGCAGGTACAGGCGCAAGGATCCCAGTCCCGGAATTGTGACTCTCCCGCAGGACATAAAAAAAACCCTGAAACAGAAGGCTCTACTCAATAGTTTGGGAGTTTCGCATCCGCGTGCGATGAGCTTGTTTTGTGATGGTCAATCAGCGTTATATATTGCGCAGAATCCGGTCTTCCATGAACGCACTAAGCATATTGAGGTTGATTGTCATTATGTTAGGGACACAATTCAGATAAGGGTTAGTGGTCTGTCATATGTGAAGACAACGGATCAACTAGCGGATATTTTCAATTCACTAAGGCATTGAGCAAAAACCAATTCTTGTATTTACTTGGCAAGTTGGGCATTTGTGATTTGCATGCTCCAACTTGAGGGGGGGTGTTAAGCCTTATGTAGTGTATAGCTTATGGGCCAATGTTATAAAGCCCTAATCTCTTTTAGGTTATATATATACTGGGAAATAGTGAATTCGATGTTGGTTTCTTGGATTTTGATAGCTATTGAACCGAAATTAGCAGCCTCTATGCCCTATTTTGTGGAAGCAAAGAAACATTGGGTATACTTGGAGAAGCATTTTTGTGAAGCTAATGGCCTCGCTTGCAACAATTACGTGCGCCTATCACTGGTTGTAAGCAATCGACCACCATGAGCATCGAGGACTATTACAATACTCTGATGGGGTTGTTTGATGATCTCA